ATTTTCTTTGCGAGATCTGCATGCAACTGCCTTGCCTTTTCGTAAATTATCGCCTCCAAAACACTCTCCCACTAACTGTTTTTCGTTGATCCACACCAACAACTTCTCAACATCTTCAATTGTTTGTGATCTCTGTTTCATTAGCACACTTACCCCTCTTGCAACATCAGCTTCCTTGATTTCTTTTTTCTTCACCAGGATGGAACTGATTGTTGATGCAGACTTCCTGTACATCCTGGCAAGATCGGCCATGTGTACGCCATTTTCATACTTTGCTACAAGTTCTTTCTTGAATTCTTGCCTTCATCAATGGGCTGGTACTCGGAACTTTCTTTGGCCCCACTGTGGCTTACTTTCATCGCACTAAATTAAACAAGCACAAAAAAACAAGGATTATTACGAAATGTTTCGATGACAGGAGGTGAGCTCACTCAACAGAAAGGCAGACTGAGTCCCGAACATGGAATGCTTTTGTTGGCACTCGATTCCAGTAAATGATGGGTGAGTACTGGGGAGGGGGACAAGTTTTGGTGTGGGAAAAAAAATTTGACAAAAAAGAGTAGTCGAAAAAAAAACTGTACGAAAATAAGGCATACGAAACTAGGTTGCGTATTTTTAAATTTACCGCTATCTTAATATTATAGACAAAGAAAAGACACAAAACCCACCCAAATTCAAAAAATTTTAAAGAAAATTATGTTTTTAAAACTAATAACCATACTTATGCTCTATACTGAACTAATAATTGCTTAAACCTACTCAGCCTCTTCCTTGCTCAAATGCCCAGCCTTACTCTTTCAAGCCTCCCTCTGCCTTACTCAGCTGCCCAGCCTCACTCCTTCACACCTCCCTCTGCCTTGCTCAGCTGCCCAGCCTCACTCCTTCACACCTCCCTCTGCCTTGCTCAGCTGCCCAGCCTCATTCCTTCGCACTTCCCTTTCCCTTGCTCAGTAACCTTATTTTGATACATATTACCTAGCCTTATGTGACGAAAAGTGCTTGAAACACAGACAGTTGTTAAATATATTTATTTTTCTCTTTTATGCCTTTATTAAATACTGTACAACATTTTGGGGTTTAAGTTTGTGGTGGAGTCTTACTAATTTCTGGACTCCATGAAATGAATGAAAGTCTCTAACTGCTTCAGATTCTTTTTCAAATATGGTATATGGGTGTCTTCATCAAGCAAAGTGTCTCATTCAACATACTTAATATTAAGATTTTCACTGAATGTATTACTTGGTACAATATATTTTCTTGCATGTACACCTCCCCAAAGCACTAGTTTAAGTACTATTAGGCTATCAAAAGATATACAAAAAATTGCAATGGTTTCTGCAATTAAAAGTGGCACTACAAACAAGAAAATCCTCTGCAGTTACCTTACTGCAAACCTTCAGAAACGACTACATCCTTACTGTACCTTGCACATGTCGGCTAGTTGTTATGTTTTCAGCTGTAATTAAACTGTATATGCCAACTAAAGATAGTTGCATATCTGATGGGCTTGATTATTTCAAATGTGGTTCTAGCAAATTTAGCTGCACAGCCATATATACTATATATAGAACAAACCACATGGGGATGGAAATCTTTAGTTCTAGATCTTTTGCACTCTCTTGCAATATCAGGAGATATGCAATGTTGCAAGACAGCAACAGATAGAAGGGGAAATTCTCTAAGGCCAGGCAGAAGGTATCAGTGGCAACCCATGTCTGCAATATGGGTTAAGATAAGATTTTGTTTGGATTTTTAACCCAGGAGGGGAAGCCACCTAGTATAACCCAAGAAAGGTAATGCATCATTGAGGGTCCATCTGATTTCCATTGGGGGTCCTCAGTCTTGTCCCTGAGGGTGTGACCCACATGAGCTGACTAATACCCAGATACCTACTTACTTGCTAGGTGAACGAGGACAGTAGTATAAGGAAACATGCCCAATGTTTCCACCCTTGCCAGGGATCAAACCATGGACATTCTGTGTAAGGCAAGAGCATTGCCTACCAGGCCACAGGGCACCTTGTCATTGATGCCTTCTGCCTGGCTTCAGAGAATTTTCCCTCCTATCTGTTGCTCTCCTGCAACATTACATAGCTCCTGATGATGCACAAGAGTCAAAGATCTAGAGCTAAAGATTTCCATCCCCATGTACTCACCTAGTTGTGGTTGCAGGGGTCGAGTCCTAACTCCTGGCCCCGTCTCTTCGCTGGCCTCTACTGGATCACTCTCCCTGCACCATGAGCTTTATCATACCTCTGCTTAAAGCTACGAATGGATCCTGCCTCCCCTACATCGCTTCCCAAACTATTCCACTTCCTGACTACTCTGTGACTGAAGAAATACTTCCTAACATCCTTGTGATTCATCTGAGTCTTCAACTTCCAACTGTGTTCCCATGTTGCTGTGTCCCATCTCTGGAACATCCTGTCTCTGTCCACCTTGTCAATTCCTCCCAGTATTTTATGTCATTATCATGTCCCCCCTATCTCTCCTGTCCTCCAGTGTCATCAGGTCGATTTCCCTTAGCCTCTCCTTGTAGGACATACCCCATAGCTCTGGGACTAGTCTTGTTGCAAAACTTTGCACTTTCTCCAGTTTCTTTACGTGTTTGGCTAGGTGTGGGTTCCAAACTAGTGCCGCATACTCCAATATGGGCCTAATGTACACAGCATACAGGGTCCTGAACAATTCCTTATTAAGATGGCAGAATGCTGTTCTTAGGTTTGCTAGGCATCCAAATGCTGCAGCAGTTATTTGGTTGATGTGTGCCTCAGGAGATATGCCTGGTGCTATGCTCACCCCAAGATCTGTTTCCTTGAGTGAGATTTGTAGTCTCTGGCCCCCCTGACTGTACTCCATCTGTGGTCCTCTGTGCCCTTCCCCAATCTTCATGACTTTGCATTTGGTGGGGTTGAACTCCAGGAGCCAATTTCTGGACCAGGCCTGCAGCCTGTCCAGGTCCTTTTGTAGTTCTGCCTGGTCCTTGTCAGAATGTAGTCTCAGACTGTAGTCTTCTCATCAACTTCACATCACCTGCAAACAGGAACACTTTGGAGTCTATTCCTTCCTTCATGTCATTCACAAATACCAGAAACAGCACCGGTCCTAGGAGTGACCCCTATGGAACCCCACTCGTCACAGGCACCCACTCTGACACCTCACCACGTACCATGACTTGCTGCTGTCTTCCTGACAGGTATTCCCTGATCCATTGTAGTGCCTCCCCTGTTTTCCCTGCCTGGTCCTCCAGTTTTTGCACTAATCTCTTGTGTGGAACTATATCAAATGCCTTCTTACAGTCCAAGAAAATGTAATCTACCCACCCCTCTCTCTCTTGCCTTACTGCTGTCACCCTGTCATAGAACTCCAGTAGGTTTGTGACACAGGATTTCCTGTTCCTGAAACTGTGTTGGCTGTTGTTGATAAGCTCATTCCTCTCTAGGTGTTCCACCACTCTTCTCCTGATAATCTTCTCCATGACTTTGCATACTATACATGTCAGTGACACTGGTCTGTAGTTTAGTGCTTCATGTCTCCTTTTTTAAAAATTGGGACTACATTTGCTGTCTTCCATACCTCAGGTAATCTCCCTGTTTCGATAGATGTGTTGAATATTGTTGTTAGAGGTACACACAGCGCTTCTGCTCCCTCTCTCAGGACCCATGGAGAGATGTTATCCGGCCCCATTGCCCTTGAGGTATCTAGCTCACTCAGCAGCCTCTTCACTTCATCCTCAATTGTATGTATTGTGTCCAGCACCTGGTGGTGTACCCCACCTCTCCGTCTTCTGGAGTCCCTGCTGTCTCCACTGTGAACACTTCTTTGAATCTCATGTTGAGTTCCTTACATACTTCGTGGTCGTTTCTTGTGATCTCTCCCCCTTCCTTCCTTAGCCTGATTACCTGGTCCTTGACTGTTGTTTTCTTCCTGATGTGGCTGTACAACAGCTTCGGGTCAGATTTGGCTTTCGCTGCTATGTCATTTTCATATTGGCGTTGGGTCTCCCTCCTTACCTGTGCATATTCATTTCTGGCTTTATGACTGCTCTCCTTATTCTCCTGGGTTCTTTGCCTTCTATATTTCTTCTATTCCCTAGCACATTTGGTTTTGGCATCCCTGCACCTTTGGGTGAACCACGGGCTTATCCTGGCTTTTTCATTATTCCTTTTACCCTTGGGTACAAACCTCTCCTCAGCTTCCTTGCATATTGTTGTCACATATTCCATCATCTCATTTACTGACTTCCCTGCCAGTTCGCTGTCCCCCTGAACCCCGTTCAGGAAGTTCTTCATTCCCGCTTAGTCTCCTTTCTTGTAGTGTGGCTTTATTCTTCCGGCTCGTCCTGCTTTCCCCTCCACTTGTGACTCTACTGTGTATTCAAATCTTAAAATCACATGGTCGCTGGCCCCGAGGGGTCTTTCATATGTGATGTCCTCAATATCTGCACTACTCAAGGTGAATACTAGGTCCAGTCTCGTCGGTTCATCCTCTCCTCTCTCTCTGGTAGTGTCCCTGACGTGTTGGTACATGAAGTTTTCCAGTACCACCTCCATCATCTTAGCCCTCCATGTTTCTTGGCCCGCATGTGGCTCCAAGTTCTCACAGTCGATTTCCTTGTGGTTGAAGTCACCCACGATCAGTAGCTTTGCCCTGCTCGCTTGAGCCCTTCTGGCCACTTCAGCCAGTGTGTCAACCATTGCTCTATTACTCTCATCATACTCTTGCCTTGGCCTCCTGCTGTTCTGTGGTGGGTTATACATCACTGCAATTACTACCTTGGGACCTCCAGACTGAAGCATTCCTACTATGTAATCTCTTGCTTCTCCTCTGTCTCCTCTCTCCAGCTCATCTAAATCCCATCAGTTTTTGACCAGCAGTGCCACTCCTCCACTCCCTCTGTTCCCCCTCTGACTTATTCTGTGTTGTTAAGATCGCTTGTTTGTAACTGTATTGCAATATACTACGTATATAATACAATGATAGAGGCATCTGTACACTCACCCTGCTCATATCTCTCATAGCACTCCTCCTGGCGGTGGTCAATACACTTTGTGCCATCAGGACTCACTTCAAAACCAGGAGGGCATACACATTGGAAAGTGCCACGCCCGTTAATACATTCTCCATTTTCACAAATATTCTCAACGGTAGTACACTCGTCAACATCTGAAATAAAAATAAAATATCATGTTCTAAAAAATAAAATACATTTCATGATGCTAGAAAATTGGTACACACAAATCTTACATTTGATCAATATTCTGTACTACAATTGGATCCATGAAGTATAATAAGCTAACTTTCTTAATTGTGGGAAGGGACAATAGGCAACCATATACAGTACTGCTGAAAGAGAACAGCATCAAAATATATAGGGAAATATAGGATAAACAAATAAAAGTACAGCCTCTCCTCACTTAACGACGGAGTTCTGTTCCTAAGACCACATCAGTAAATGAATTCGTCACTAAGCAAGGAGCATACTATAATGGTAATGGGTTTGTGTCAACTATATTTGACATTGTTTTAATGTTACCTTTGCAACATTTATAACATTTTTAGTATATTTTTAAATGTTTAAATAGTAGTGTACTGTATATTGTAATAAACAGAACAGAGGAAATCAGCTTTAATATACATTATTTAGGTATGCATACTGGTCAGAGAGCCCGTCGGTAAACGAGTATGTCGCTAAGTGAGGAGAGGCTGTATGTGATAAACAACTTTCGTGTATGTTTAACAGTACTTTGGTGATCTCTGTTTTTGGTATAAAACTATAATGACTCATGTAATTACAGCCACTCCTTACTTAACAACAATGGAGTTCCGTTCCTAAGACCTCGTCGGTAAACGAATTCATCGCTAAGTGAGGAGCATACTATAATGGTAGTGGGTTTGTGCCAACCATCTCTGATATTGTTTTAATGTCACATTTGCACCATTTATAACATTTCTGGTATATTTTTAAATGTTTACACAGTAGAGTAGTACTGTATATTGTAATAAACAGAACAGAGGAAATCAGCTCTGATATACAATATTTAGGTATGCATACTGGTCAGAGAGCCCATTGTAAGTCCGAGTCGTCGGTAAATGAGTACGTCGATAATTGAGAGGCTGTACTTACAAAAATATGCATTTTAATTTAAAATTCCTTTAAAAACAGAAAATGTAAAAAGCTCTATGTAGTCTTTTTTTTTTTTAAGTATATATTTTTTAAACACATTATTAAATAAAATGAGTAAATCATCCATTATTTGGCAACTGATTATTCAGAAATATTCTCTGCATTATGAGAGTTTATTTTATTTAACCAATACACATAATTCTTAATCAATCTTTGCCAAACAAACAGGAACTCTCCACACATACTTAAAATGAATATATGGAAGCTATCAATGTACTATTTAGTAAAAAACTGAGAAAGCTTTGGGTATATAATTCAGCTTAACAAAATCGTAATTATATACAGTCCTTGACCAACCTCTACCAAATGTGCATTGTTGTATGACCCTTTGGGTTTAGCACTTACCTCTGCTAGTAATAATAATAGTAATACCAAACAAGCAAGAACTCTTCACATATCCTTAAATACACAAACTCTCAATGCCTTTGTTGAAAAGATATCTGAGAAAATTTTTTATTGAAAATAGTACTAAAAAAAAGGCTGTGCAAAAATAGGGACTATAAAAATCATTTAAATGCTGGCATTTTGGGAATCTCCTTTCCTCATCAGCACTGGATGATGCATGATTCACTGTATAACAAAATTAAAAACCTAGTTAACCTTTTGGATTATCCATCAATTTGTAAATCATATTAAACAGGAGGTTTCGTGGGCGAGGAGCTTGGACTTCCAGCAAGCATGCATGAGCGTGTCAGATAGGAGTGAATGGAGATGAATGGTTTTTGGGACCTGACGAGCTTTTGGAGTGTGAACAAGGTAATATTTTGTGAAGGGATTCAGGGAAACTGGTGATTTTAATATATAGCCAGATTTGAGTACTGGAAATGGGAAGTACAATGCCTGCACTTTAAAAGAAGGGTTTGGGATATTGGCTATTTGGAGGGACATCTAAACTGTCATATCTGAGTGCCGATGCAAAGACAGTGATTATGTATGAATGATGGTGAAGGTGCTTTATGATGATGAAGGTTTTTTGTTTCTTTTTTGGATTCTTCTTTCTTTTTGGGTCACTCTGCCTCAGTGGGAAACAGCTGACATGTTAAAAAAAAAAAAATGTTTCTGGAACCCTAGCTACATCACCCTTTATCATAAAAAATTTCTTCCACATTATATGAAGTAAGATATTTAAAACTAGTGAATTAAACAATAATTTAAAACTAAGCCACTTGTAAAAATAGAATGGCTAAGGTTACAGCAAATGTAAGAGCACTGTACTGTTACTGTGATTTAAATGTAATGTTTCAAGTGGTCTTGTAACCATGCAGCCTGGTCTGAAGTCAGACTTTCCTGCCGACCACTTGGCCAACTACAATGCTTGTACTAACAATCTGCAGGCCCACAAAGCCATCAACAGCCTGGCTGATTCAGCACTTGTAGAAGGAAGCTGTCAAGCTTCTTCTTAAAAACTTCTATCTTCATTCTGTCAATATTTCTGATATCGGCTGGTAACATGTTAAAGAGTTCTGAATTACTGAATGCTGAGAATGTTCTCTGACTGTACTCATGCCTTCCCTACTCTTCACTGGGTTTATTCCACAATTTCTCCCAGACTTATTTTTGAATGGACAAATACAAAAATATATACAATACACAGAGAAGTAAATAATTTTTTACCACCTGTGATTTGTCATATATAAGTGAAATCATGTATAGTATTAGCTTGTACTACCTACTGTCCTAGTGTTGTCCGCTTGCTCACCTCCCTTTTCACACATTCTAGTTTTGAGTTTCTATCTCTGTCCTCTTTTCCTGACCTTTATCTTTCCCCACCCCTGCCCCTTTTATGAATGCAATCTACATTCATGTAATATACATTTTAAAAATAAAATTTTGTGTTGTTTATTATTTGTGTATATGTACAATGGTCTCTATTGAACAGTATGACCACACTACTGTTCTTTCAAGAATCAATACCTATGGAAACATTTGTTCAGTTATACATGAATATCTACATACAATATACACTTTACCAATGCATGACATTCCATCATGTGCCAATATGAATCCTTCTGGGCAGTCACAAATGAAGGATCCCATTAGATTTTGACAACGTCCAGGGGCGGGACACACATCATCTCGCTGCATATGCAAAAGATTAAATAAATATACATTTAATACTTTCAGTATTCAAAATATATTTCAGGAGAAAATCAAAATTTATTTCAAGAGAAAATCAAAATTTATTTCAAGAGAAAAATCAAAATTTATTTCAAGATAAAATCAATATTTATTTCAAGAGAAAATCAAAATTTATTTCAAGAGATTAGCTTGAGCTTATTATTATTTACACATGAACACATGCCCAAGCAAATTTTTTACATTTACTCAAAAGAACACAAGTGAGCTTGTTCACAGAAGATTATAAATAGGTCTAACCTGGCAAGTAGTGACCCATGAATTTATTACTGGTGTTCTGCTATACACACACTTTGTAATTCCTATACTGGGTCATGGAATTCAAACAGAAAGCATGCTGAGATCCATTGACACAAAATACATCTGAGTAAAATAGTAAAGACTAGGCCTAGTCTTCAAGGAGACAACATAATGATATACTGTGCTAGTGTGCTACAATATTTACCAGTCTAATGAAAATCATGAAAAAAGCACACAAGAAGGGCCCCACTTATACAGCAGGTAAGTTCTGGGCTGTTGATGTAAAGCAAAAATAGCTATAAAGTGAAAAATAGCCTTTTTTTTTTTTATTTTCAAATGCATATAAAAGCCTGATAACATGTTTACACTATCATATATTAAGTAAGCAACAGAACTAGGCCTTATAAATGCATATACAGTCATACATTACTTACCTTTAAATATTTTCATACTTAGCTTATAGTAAGAAGAGAATATATTTACTGTAGGTAGACTGAATAAATAAAGAGTGGGTATAACTGAAAACTGCTGCATTAGCAAAATGCTGTAAAGTGAGGCCCTCCTGTACTGCTAAAACAAAACCACTATGTATTACTGGCCATAAGACAACAAAAAAGAGAGATGGGAAAGGGAGGAGTTGAATCTGACATTCCTTCAAATAGTCATATTCTTGCATAACCTGGAGGGTGTTATACACAGGAATAAAACTAGAGTAGATTTACAGGCTTCACAGATGGGAGTTAATCATGCTTTTTCTGCATCAGCAGTCAACACAGTGGTTTCATATCCCATGAGGAAACTTTTCACACAGACAGTAGGTTGTTCATCTCTCTGGAACTCTGCTCTCCATATTCTAAGGACTTTGAGAAGGAAGCCAGAAAGAACTCCTCTCAATTTTCATGCTTTGGTGGCAATAACAATGGGTTATAATCAGCATTACTGGTAGGTTTCCTGTATACTTCGTAAAAAAAAACTGTTGTTCTTCCTAATGCTGAGGATTTTCAGTTTGTTGAGCAGTCCTCCTCCTTTTCCTCCAATAACAAACAAACAACTTCATTTTGATAAAGTGGAGTATTGCACAGTACACAGTTATGGTAACTGACATGTATAAACTACTTTGTAGAAATTCCCTTGTTATGCAAAGCTTTTCTGGCAGCCTTAAAATTAACTTAAAATTACTAGACAATGAGACAAATATAGTACATGAGAATAAGAATACTTAGTTTATACTGCATTGAAGGTATCCAGTAATTCAATGTAAAATTCTAATTAAAGATACATTAAGGATGAAGCTAAGTACCTGAATTGATACAATTCTGGGGCAGAAGAGGGAAGAGGGAGGGGTTCATGCAGGGCGAAAAGTGGGTCTGGAGAAATTGAAGTCATTTCTAAGGAAATGGCAGTGAACAGAGAAGAAACGTCTAAATTTGCTAATTTCTTGCTGTGCAAGCTGCAACCATGACGTCTGAACAATTGCTTCCCCAAGTGCCTGATATGTGAGGGGTTTATGATTCCTAAAGGTTTTCAAAGGTATCTAGCAAGTTTCCCTGCTAGTTTGTATAGTGCACTTCCTATGATGAACATGATGGGATTGAGAGGATTGTTGGTCTTGCATATTTAAAGAAACTGTATATGTGCGCAGGACAAGCATAAGAGGTGAAATAGGTAACACAATTATACCCTATGAGGTGTTTTCTGGAGAATCTTAACGTGAACTGGTTAGAAACTTCTGTTTCCTTGTTCATGAGGGATCTGTGGACTATACTGTATGTATCTGTGTCGTCAAATAGTTCCACCAATTTATCAATTTATCTATACTGTTTGCCATTCATAATTTCCACTCCTCCTCTGGATCCTTTCCTTAAATTTCAAGAGTGAGGATGTACTTACAAGGGAATAACAAAGTAACCCTTTCCTGGAGGGCCAGGCTGAGCAGACCCTGATGTATCTGTCTGTCTGTACTTGTGGGTTACAGAATTGATATGTTGGTTGTTCTTACTGCAGTAGGCCTACTGGCCTACTGCAGTAGGCCAGTAGGCCTACTGCAGTACTTCATTTATTATCACTTATTTATTACCATTCATTTATTACTATTGAATACTGCAGTAGGCCAGTAGGCCTACTGCAGTATTCAATGGTAATAAATTGCAACTGCTTAGGTATGGAAAGAATGAAGAACTCAAAAGGAACAGATTGCATACAAAACTCAAGAGGATCATAATATAGAATGAAAGGGACATGTACAAGACTTAAGAATAACTATGTCAACTGATCTTTCTCTCAAAGAACATAAAAAGACAAAGGTCATGACAACCAGGAGAATGACAGGGTGGGTACTGAGAACCTTCAAAACATGGGAAATAATACCAATGATGACACTTTTCAAATTGCTAGTGCTCCCCCATTTGGAATATTGCTCAGTGCTCATGGTCCTAATCAAGGCAGGAGAAATATCAGAGCTTGAACAAATACAGAAATCATTTATGGCCCACAAAGAGCCAGTAAAGCATTTGAATTAGTGGGAATACCTTAAGAGGGGTTGTTGAGGTGGTTTGGTCATTTAGAGAGAATGGATCAAAAGTAAAATGACATGGAAAGCATATAAATCTTAGGGGAAGGAAGGAGGGGTAGGGGTCGTCCTCGAAAGGGTTGGAAAGAAGGGGTAAAGGTGGTTTTGTGGGCTAGGGGCTTGGATTTCCAGCAAGCGTGCATGAGCGTGTTAGATAGGAGTGAATGGAGGCAAATGATACTTGGGACCTGACGATCTGTTGGAGTGTGAGCAGGGTAATATTTAGTGAAGGGGTTCAGGGAAACTGGTTATTTTCATATAGTCAGACTTGAGTACTGGAAATGGGGAAATACATGCCTGCACTTTAAAGGAGGGGTTTGGGATATTGGCAGTTTGGAGGGATATGTTGTGTATCTTTATACGTATATGCTTCTAAGCTGTTGTATTCTGAGCACCTCTGCAAAAGCAGTGATATGTGTGAGTGTGGTGAAAGTGTTGAATGATGATGAAAGTATTTTCTTTTTGGGGATTTTCTTTCTTTTTTGGGTCACCCTGCCTCGGTGGGAGACGGCCGACTTGTTGAAAAAAAAAAAAAAAAAACTTAGTCTTGAAAATGTACTCACTGGAGTGGAGGAGAGAGAGATACATAATAATATATACCTAGAAGGTACTTGAGGGCCTAGTCCCAAATCTGCACACAGCCATAACAACATACTGGAGCAAGAGATATGGGAGGAAGTGCAAGATAAACCCAGTGAAGAGCAGGGGCACAGTGGGCACAGTAAGGAAAAACTGTATCAACATTCGTGATCCCAGATTATTCAACATCTTACCAGAAGATATCAGAAACACTGCTGGAACAAGTGTAGAAGTCTTCAAGAAAAGACTGGACAAGTATCTTCACCAGGTGCCAGATCAACCAGGTTGTGATGGATATGTGGGGCAGCGGGCCTCCAGCAGCAATAGCCTAATTGACCATGCTAGCACCAGATGAGCCATGACCAGGCTCCAGGAGTAGAAAAACTCTTGAAACTCATCAAAGGTATATTAAAGGTATTCTTATGTTCTTATTTATTATTCTAATCAGGAGGAAGTGCTAAACCCATAGATGTTATGCATTACTCGAGGAGTAAGAAGCATTTCGGTTGGATCCAAGGGAGGATAAATTCAGTTACTTGGATCAAGAGCCCTTCACTGTACAAAAACATAACCCTCTTCAGGGGTTATGTCCTTGTACAAGTAAGAAGGGTTGGGTTTGAGAAGAACCTGCCCAGCAAAGGGCTGTGGTCTTTCTGCAGCGCTCTTGTCTTATGTTCTTATATAAATGAGAAGGGTTGTGTTTGAGAAAAAATACCTAGTATAGGCAAGTAAGATTAATTAAGTGCTTCTCTATTCTTATGTTTACAGAAATACTCTTTCATATTTTTTACTTAAATGAAACTTTCATATTTAACTCAAAACCATCTCCTGCCAAGGCAGGGTGACCCAAAGAAGAAATCACATTCACATTCTCAGAGCTGCTCAGAACCATCACAACCCAATACCCCAACAATATGAACATGGTGGTGATTCACAGAACAAGTGATAATTTCTTAATTTTTTGGGTGGTTTGCACTCATCAGGTATTAGTTTGGGCATATTTACTTGGTAAAACAAAACCTTATTTTATGGCCGGTAATATATGGTACAAAACAAAAAGCTGGTATTAGAAGGTGCTTATGCAATGCTTTCACAAATCCTTGGAATCAGTAAATCACTAAAAACAAATAATACTTTCCAAAGATAATAAACTCCTAATCTCAGAAATAGAGCTGTCCTCTTCCTTCATGGATCAAGCCTGATTACCTCTTATTCTCAAGACACTCCTATATTTGGTAATTCCTTGCAAATGTAATCATAGCAGGTGCTGTTTGTGAGACTACTTTTAATTAAAAAGTATTGGTGTTAATGATGTTACTATTTTTTTTTTTTTTTTTCAACAAGTCGGTCGTCTCCCACCGAGGCAGGGTGACCCAAAAAAAGAAAGAAAATCCCCCAAAAGAAAATACTTTCATCATCATTCAACACTTTCACCACACTCACACATTATCACTGCTTTTGCAGAGGTGCTCAGAATATAACAGTTTAGAAGCATATACGTATAGAGATACACAACATATCCCTCCAAATGCCAATTAATAATAAAAAATAAATAAAAAAATAATAAAATAATAATAATAAAAAATAAAAATAAATTTATTTTCACATGATACATGGTTGTACAAAGGAACATAAAAGTTGGGTGTACATGCCAAAAGCCCCTTTGTATGCGGAGCATTTTGGGCAAACTTAAAATTAACTTAAGATTAATAAGGCAATAACAGTTCATATGGTCACTGGATGAGTTACAGCAAGTACAAGAGAAATTAGTATTATTAGGTAATGCTATATGACTTTAATAAGTCTAGTACAGAAGTTCAGTAGAGAATAATTACACTACTGAATTAGTTTATAACAATTTACAATATGATGTATTACAATTTAGTACTATTTAAAACAATGAAATTTAAGAATCTTAATTTAGAAGTAATGAGTAAATGGTTGAGCAATCCTCAGTACAATATGAAGTACAGTGGTACCTTGGGATATGAACTGAAAATGTGTAATACATGATTAACCCTTAAATGGTCCAAACGTATATATACGTTTTTTCAACATCTGAAAGTATGTAAAAAAATGTAGATCTTCTTTTTTGTTTTACATTTGAAAATGTGTAAAAAAAACTTTTATCTACATTTTATTTTTTGTTACATATGAAAATATGTTAAAAAAAGTAGATCTAATTTTGTAGCACTACGAATTTGAACGTTGATTTGCTTGGACCGTTTAACCCTTTGAGGGTTTTGGTCGTACTAGTACGTCTTACGCGTAGGGGTTTTTGACGTACTAGTACGCATAAATTCTAGCGGCCTCAAATCTCGCAGGAAAAGGCTGATAAGCCTAGATGTGAGAGAATGGGTCTGTGTGGTGGGTGTGCGCAGTAGGAAAAAAATCTGGGACCCAGTGGTGCATTGTGGGAATGCCATCATAGTACACAATTTCCACCGTGCCCTGCGGTAAGAAGTTCCTCACTCCTCGGCGAATTGGGACACTTTTGTTCCCCAGTGACAGTTCTAATACAGATGGAAGTGACAGTGAAGATGAGTTTCAAGGTTCTGGTGAGGTTTTGACCGAAACTAATGACCATAATATGGTAATAGTGAGGAAAACCCAGACAACCCACAGCCTTCCACTCTGGTGCTGGGCCGTCGTTCAGTTGTACCAGAATCAAAGAGGAAACTCCTATTTTCCAAAATCCCAGACTCAGATGTGAGCATTGGTGATGATAATGATAGTGATTATGAAACTACAAGCTCTTCAAACTTGTTCCAAGAATGGAGGAGGCAGAGGAGGAGGAGAGAGGAGGAGGAGGCAAGAGGAGGAGGAGGCAGAGGAGGAGGAGGAGAGGGAGGAGGAGGAGGAGAAGAAGAGGAGGAGGAGGAGGAAGAAGAGGAGGAGGAGGAGGCTGGAGGAGGAGGAGGAGGAGGAGGAGGAGGAGGAGGAGGAGGAGGAAGAAGAAGAATACTAATGATAACAATAATACATATAATAATACATAAATATAATCATAATAATAAATACATAATAATAATAATAGGTAATAATATAATAGTAATAATAAATGTTCACCCATGACAGTAACAAGATAAGGGGAGATAACATCTGATAAGTGCTGACGTTTGAATGAGGGTAAATGAGGGTAGAGCTGATGCCAAAAGAATGAGATGAACATCGCCCTCCCTTTGTTTTTGCTGGTATACTAACATTTCTGTCTGTCTATTTGCCTGTCTGTCAAGCTCCCTGTCTATCCATCTAGCTCTCTGTTCTCAGAGAGCCACAAGACTACGTCATGACTTTTACTCACATCTTCAAGCAGAGTATAGCACTTTGTCGGGGGTTTCTTGGGTTATCCTAGGTAATTTATACTATGTAATATGTATTTATGTGTACCTGTGAGACAGAGATAGACAGACAGATAGAATGAGGAGAAAGATAATTAGATAGAATGGAGGAGGGGGGAAGCAGCATCCGACCCCATTGTTTTGACAGGCGGAGGGGGAAAGAGTAATGAGCCAATATGTCACTTTGACAGCTGCCGACTCCTTGTAAATTTACACTATGGACGAGGAGGAGGAAGAGTAGGGGGAAGAGGAAGAAGAGGAGGAGGTGGAAGAGGAGGAAGAGGAAGGTAGGATGAAGAGGAATAAGAGAAGGAGGAGGAGGAGAAGAGGATAGTAGGAGGAAGATTAGGGGGAAGAGGAGGAAGAGGAAGAAGAGGAGGAGGAGGAAGAGTAGGAGGAAGAGGAAGAAGAGGAGGAGGAGGAAGAGGAGGAGGAGGAAGAGGAAGAGTAGGAGGAAGAGGAAGAGGAGGAAGAGGAAGAGTATGAGGAAGAGTAGGGGGAAGAGGAGGAAGAGTAGGGGGAAGAGGAGGAAGAGGAAGAAGAGGAGGAGGAGGGTGGAACACTAGTACACTGGTACTGGTACACTAACATTTCTGTCTGTCTATTTGTCTGTCTGTCAAGCTCCCTGTCTATCTGTCTATCCGTCTAGCTCTCTATCTCAGAGAGCCACAAGACTGTGTCATCACTTTTACTCACATCTTCAAGCAGAGTATAGCACTTTGTCTGGATTTCTTGGGTTATCCTAGGTAATTTACACTATGTATACTTGTATTTATGTGTACCTGTGAGACAGAGATAGACAGACAGATAGAAAGAGAGAGACAGATTGAAAGAGATAGAATTAGGGAGAAAGATAAAACACCATTGTGTATGACACCATGTTTCAGAGTTCCACAAGCTGCAGAACTAATAGGAATATGTTCAGTGACTGTATATTGGTATATATATTATAGAAACAATAATAATAAACATGTTTTGTGTTGTTTGTTTTTGTAAACAAGTTTTGTAAACAATATATGATAATTATGTTTGTGTGCTTATTGTGTTGTATACAACGAGTGTATATTTGTACATTGCACCTTACTTTGGTCTCATAGGCCACATAAGTTATGTGAAAAAAATAAAATAGTGAAAAAAACAACAAACCTTCAAATACAAGTAAATCAAAGTTTACCGGGTGAGCGGCAGTCGCCGCTGTTGCCATACGCGGCTCATTTTCTGCAAACTTCATGCATCCATATCTCCGTAAGTATTGATGGTAAATTTTTTTTGTTTATCCTATAATGTTTAGAAAAAAAAACTCTATTTTTTCATAAGAAAAAATAATTTTTTTTTTTTTGAAATTTGGCCGACCCTGAGAACGAGTTTCGGAGAGGGCCTGTCGACCCTCAAAGGGTTAAGGGTTAAAGTATTAAATGATTAAATATATGCATATAAATAACAAATGCCTAGTGCTCTAATAAAGCTCATATTATCAAGTACATTTCTATAGATATGCTTTGACTCTCAATTATCTTTCAGTCATGTCCCTAATCTAATTAATAGCTTTCCAAACGTAATCTTAAATTTTTTTTTTAACAGACCGGCCATATCCCACCAAGGCAGGGTGGCCCAAAAAGAAAAACGAAAGTTCCTCTTAAATTTAGTAATTTATACAGAAGGGGTCACTAGCCCCTTGCTCCAGCATTAAACCCTGGACCCAAGTGGTGAGAGGCGTGACTCTCACCACTGGGCTACCCCGTAGGGTATAAAGAATTTTTGTGGTCGCTGCCGCACCCTTTACCCCCTCCCTCCAACCTTTCCTAGGCCAACACCTACCCCGCCTACCCTCCACTACAGATTTATACACTCTCGAAGTCATTCTATTTTGTTCCATCCTCTCTACATGTTCAAAACCATCTCAATAACCCTTCCTCAGACCTCTGGATAATAGTTTTGGAACTAAAAGGCAAAGAAACAAACTATCACTAAATAATAGTCCACGACAGATATAAGGTGCAAAGAACTGTAGCTGTTGAGGGTCTTAAATACTGGCACTTTAAAGTCAGAGTTAGCAGGATAAGCTTTTGCAAATGGGGCCATCTTGAAACTTGCAAAATAGTCAGATAGTCAGGAAAATCCTTAATACTGGTCTGATTCACAGCAGAATGAAACTCAGCCTACATACCTGATATTATATAACTAGACACTGGCCACAACATACCAGTTATAGAGATATTACATACACAAAGGAGAAAGAAACTTAATGATGACTAATTACTGTCCAAACTGGATTGAAACATCATCATAAGTTTCTTTCTCCTATGTGAGGGCTATCTGTGTTTGATCCAGTCAAGGTATTGTACCTCTGTGTTCTTTGAGATATTACATAACCTGTTGTAAGCTACCAGTGTATAATTTGTGCCAGTATCTGTTGGTCCTGTGGTGCATCCTGTAAGTCATAACATCAATAACCTAAGACAAAATGTATGTATAATTTGAAACAAAACACTGCATGAGCTTACCGATACAGTCACGGTTAGGGCCAATCTTGAATCCTCGATAGCACTGACACTGGTAGGATCCCATGGAATTAAGGCATGTGCCATTATTGCAGATATTGGGGGAACGGACACATTCATCCAAGTCAATGCACGAGGAGCGGTCTGCTGTGAGCACATAACCTGGGTCGCATATACACTGGAAGCTTCCCTGAAAATTATTGCAGACACCATGTTGACAAACCCCTTCGTGTTCACATTCGTTGATGTCTGCAACACCAAATACATTAAAGTTATAAAAAAATGACTCGAACATTATATATTTAAGTGCTAGGACAGTAACTTGATAATATTTTTATTCAAAATTTTACAATGTGTGTATAAGTGATGGAGGTAGTAGGTTGGTAGACAGCAACCCCACCCGGGAGGTACTCCCGTGCTGCCAAGTGAGTTTTAAAATAAAAACCCTGAAAATTGTTTTACAAAATGGAAAGGTTTGCGGGTGTCTTTTGTCTGTCTCATGAATTGCAAGATTACGGTACCCCTTGTATTTCTACTTACAAAAGGGTCCCCACATACATGGCGGGAAAAGAGGGGTTTATAAATGTTTAAATTTCCGGGATTAGCAGAGAAAAATTTAAAATTTGGGAAGTGAAAAGGAGTTATACCCAAGCCCATATGTACATGGAGAAAGATCAGTAAGGAGGAAAGAGAGAGATTTAGAAAAATTTTTTGTTTGGAATGTGGGGGGAGTTTTGAACCAAGTGTGAGAGTACTTGTGGTTGGGGATTTAAATGCTGAATTTGGGGTAAAAATGTTGTGGAGGAGAATGGGGAAAAATTTGGGGGTTGCCAGGGGTAAAAAAAAAGGGGGGAGTTTTTAAATTGAGCTATGTAAAAGAAAGGGGTTTTGGAAAATAAGTAATTTATTTTTTATGAAAAAGAGGATAAATAAATAAAAAAGGGATGATATAGCACGTAATAAAAGTAGTTTGTTAATTATGTATTGGGGGAAAAAAAAAGGGGATGGGTAGGCTCCAGGATGTCCCATTTTTTATAGGGGGGGAAAATATTTTTTTTACAGATCATTTTTAGTTGTAGCTACAGTTAAAAGAAGGGGGAAAAGGGGACAAAAAACAAGAGAGAGGTGAAAGTGTAAAACAAAGGGGAGGGGAAAATTTTTCGGGTGAGATTTAAAGCAATTTTTTGGCAAAAAAGGTGGGGGGTTTGAAAGTATGAGTAGGGGCAGGGGTTGAGAAGGTTGGAATAGTTTTAAAAAATCCCAGTTTTTAAAATGGGGGGCAAAAAGTTTGTGGTTATAGGAGGGTGGTGGGGGGAAAGGGGGAAGGGGGAATTGGTGAAATGATAAAATTAAAGGGTGTGATGAAAAAAGAATAAGATAGCATGAGAGGGTTTTTTCCCAAAACAGAACTGCTATAAGAAAAGCCGAGAAAAGTGGAGAGTTTAAAAAAAAGGGAAAGAAGTGGTAGGAGGGTGCAAAAAAGAGAGCGATGAAGAGTGGGGGGAGGCACTGTCAAGAAAATTTTTAAAGAAAATAAAAAAAATTTTTTGGGGTGAGTTAAACCCAAAATTTAAAAAACTTTTGGGGAAAAAATGGATTTGGGCAGTTAAAAAAAAAGAGTTTGGGGAGTTAGTAGATGGGGAGAAGGGGGTATTAGGTAGATGGCGGAATTTTTTTGAGGAACTTTTAAATGTTTAAGGGAAAAAACGGGCAGTTAATTTCCATGCATTGGGCAAAGGGGGGTACACCATCTTTTAGGGGTGAAGTAGAGCAGAATGTAAGGGTGGGGAGGTACGTGAGGCATTAAAGTAAATGGGAAAGGGGGGAAAAACAGTGGAAATGAAAGGGATCATGACAGAAATGTTTTAAAAAAAGGGGGGATATTTGTTGGAGTGGTTGGTTTTTTTTGGTTTTAAAAAATGTATGAAAGAGGGGAAGGTAAAAGGGGGTTGGGGGAAAAGCATGGAAAAGGGCCCCTTTTTATAAAGGGGAAAAAGGGGGCAAAAGAGACTGTAAAAATTTTTAGAGGAAATAACTTACTGGGGTATAACCCGGAAAAGGTTGGTAGGGTTTTAAAAATTTAAAAAAAATTAGGGTAAAGGCGAAAATGTAGGATTTTCGGATGGCAAAGGGGGTTTCCCAGTGGGTAGGGGATGTGTAATTTAATGGGTTTTCATTGAAAACATATTGTTGAACATATTTAGATTAAAAAGGGAGGGGGAAATTTTTTTTTGCCAAATTTTATGGATTTAGAAAAGGCATATGATAGAGTGGATAGAGGAGCAATGTGGCAGATGTTGCAAGTATATGGAATACTTTGGTAAGTTATTAAATGCTGTAAAGAGTTTTTTATGAGGATAGTGAGGCTCAGGTTAGGGTGTGTGAAGAGAGGGAGACTACTTCCAGGTAAAATAGGTCTTAGACAGGGATGTGTAATGCACCATGGTTGCTTAATATATTTATAGATGGGGTTGTAAAGGAAGTAAATGCTAGGGTGTTCGGGAGAGGTGGTGGATTAAATTTGGGGAAATCAAATTCAAAATGGGAATTGACACAGTTACTTTTTGCTGATGATACTGTGCTTATGGGAGATTCTAAAGAAAAATTGCACGGGTTTTAGTGGATGAGTTTGGGAATGTGTGTAAAGGTAGAAAGTTGAAAGTGAACATAGAAAAGAATAAGGTGATGAGGGTGTCAAATAATTTAGATAAAGAAAAATTGGATATCAAATTGGGGAGGAGGAGTATGAAGAAGTGAAAAGTTTTCAGATACTTGGGAGTTGACGTGTCGGCGGATGGATTTATGAAGGATGAGGTTTAAAACATAGAATTGATGAGGGAAAAAGGTGAGTGGTGCGTTGAATATATGTGGAGTCAAAAAACGTTATCTATGGAGGCAAAGAAAGGGGAAAGTATGAAAGTATAGTAGTACCAACACTCTTATATGGGTGTAAGCTTGGGTGGTAAATGCAGCAGCGAGGAGATGGGTTGGGGCAGTGAGATGTCCTGTTTAAGGGCAATGTGTGGTGTAAATAATAAGCAGAAAATTCGGAGTGTGGAAATTAGGAGAAGGTGTGGAGTTAATAAAAGTTTTAGTCAGAGGGCAGAAGAGGGGTTGTTGAGGTGGTTTGGTCATTTAGAGAGAATGGATCAAAGTAAATGACATGGAAAGCATATAAATCTAAAGGGGAAGGAAGGCGGGGTAGGGGTTTGTCCTCGAAAGAATTGGGGAGAGGGGGTTTAAAGGAGGGTTTTGTGGGCAAGGGGCTTGGACTTCCAGCAAGCGTGCGTGAGCGTGTTAGATAGGAGTGAATGGAGACGAATGGTACTTGGGACCTGACGATCTGTTGGAGTGTGAGCAGGGTAAAAATTTAGTGAAGGGATTCAAAGGGAAAACCCGGGTTTTTTTCATATAGTCGGACTTGAGTCCTGGAATGGGAAAATAAAAATGCCTGCACTTTAAAGGAGGGTTTGGGATATTGGCAGTTTGGAGGGATATGTTGTGTATCTTTATATGTGTATGCTTCTAGACTGTTTGTATTCTGAGCACCTCTGGAAAAACAGTGATAATGTGCGAGTGTGGTGAAAGTTTGAATGATGATGAAAGTATTTTTCTTTTTGGGGATTTTCTTTCTTTTTTGGGTCACCCTGCCTCGGTGGGAGACGGCCGACTTTTTTGAAAAAAAAAAAAAAAAATATGATAGAGTTGTATAGGGGGGCAATGTGGCAGATGTTGTTAGTATATGGAATAGATGTTAAGTTACTAATGCTGTAATGATTTTTATGAGGATAGTGAGGCTCAATTAGGGTGTGTAGAAAGGAGAGACTACTTCTGGTAAAAGTAGGCTCAGACAGGGATGTTAATGTCCAAAGGTTGTTTAATATATTTATAGATGGGGTTTTTAAAAGTAGTTTAAACTAGGGGGTTCGGGGGGGGAGGGGTGGGATTAAATTATGGGGAATCAAAAACAAAATGGGAAATTTATACAGTTATTCTTGCTGATGATACTGTGCTTAGGGAGATTTTTAAAAAAAATTGCAAAGGGTTTGTGGCCCAGTTTGGGAGAGTGAAAGGGGAGAAGTTAAAAAAGGGAAAATGGAAAAGGTAAAGGGGATGAGGGTATCAAATGTTTTGATAAAGAAAAAAAATTTGGGCACAAATTGAAGAGGGGGAATGGGAAAAAGTAAAAGTTTTCGAATTTGGGGTTTTTCGTGTCAGGGATGGATTTATGAAGGATGAATTTAATCACAGAATTGATTAAGGAAGGAAAATGAGGGTGCGTTGAGGTAAAATTGGAACAAAAAAGTTATTAGGAGGGAAAAGGGAATTATGAAGTTTTGTAGTCCCAACACCTTATATGGTGTGAAGCTTGGGGTGGTAAATGCAGCCGGGGGAGACGGTTGGAGGCATGGAGATGTCCTGTTAAGGGCAATGGGGTGTAAAATTATGCAAAAATTTTGGGAGTGAGGAAAAGTGGAGGTGTGGAGTTAAAAAAAAGTATTATCAGGGGACTGAAAGGGGTTGTTGAGGGGTTTGTTTCATTTAGGGAAGGTCAAAGAAAATGTATGGAGGCTTTAAATCTGTGGGAAAGGAAGGCGGGGTGGGGGGTCGTCCTCGAAAAGGTAAAGGGAGGGGGTAAAGGAGGCTTTTGTGGGCGAGGGTTTGGGATTTCCAGCAAGCTGCATGAGCGTGAGATAGGTTTTGAATGGAGACGAATGGATTTGGGACCTGACATCTGTTGGAGGGAGCAGGGAAAAATTTTAGGGGAGGTATTCGGGAAAGGGTTTATTTTTTTTACCGGGATTTGGCCCCGGGGAAAGGGGAAAGACAATGCATCACTCTAAAGGAGGGGTTTGGGATATTGGCAGTTTTAGGGGATATGTTGGGTATCAAACGTATATGCTTCAAAACTTTGTTTCTGGCCCTTGCAAAAACAGGATTATGTGTGAGTGAAGTGAAAGTGTTGAATAGATGAAAGTTTTTTTTTTGGGGAGATTTTCTTTTTTTTTGGGGTCACCGGCCTCAGGGGGAGACGGCCCCCGACTTGTTAAAAAAAAAAAAAAAAAATTTTTCTGAATTAAGCTTAATTTACCAAGTATTTTTTTGTGAAAAATTTTACCTTTTATATATTCATTAATTTACTAAAATATTTTAAAAAATGAAAAAAGATAAAATTTTTAAAAAAAATCTACTTGTGGGGAAACTTGACTTTCGTCTTACTCGCTTAAAAAGCATGACATATATGCTACAGTATATCTGGGAAAGATTTCATTGAATGCATAAATGTGAGAAACCAATGTACAAATACTATACCAAATTTGCAAAAATCAATACCAACCAGTCTTGTTTGTGTGGGCGATTTTTAAACCGGAGGGCAAGAGCAGCGTAACTTCCCACAGTGTTCTCCACTTAGAAAGCCGGCAGGGTTTTGAAAATCATCACACCATTGATATCTAAAAAATAAATGAGTCAGATGGTATAAAACATTTAAATATAGAAATCATACACATATACACAATTATACATGCATGCATGCAAGTGTCACGTGTTGTGTGTGTGTGGTTGGTGTGTGTGTGTGTGGTGTGTTCTCCTCACCTTTGTACTCACCTAGTTGGGTTTGGGGGGGGTCAGCCCGAGCTCCTGGCCCCCCCTTCATGATCGTACGGGTCACTCTCCTGACCCCGTGAGCTTTATCGTACCTTGTTTTTAAAGCATGTAGGGAAACCTGCCTCCACTACATCGCTTCCCAAACATTCCACTTACTGACTACCTGTGGCTGAAAATACTTCTAAAATCCTGGATTCATCGTGCTTTAGCTTCCAACTGTGTCCCCTTGTTACTGTGTCCAAAAACCCGGAACATCCTGTTTTTGTCCCCTTGTCAATTCTTAGTTTTTTGTATGCGTTATCATGTCCCCCCCTTTTCTCCTGTCCTCCATGTCGTCAGGTTGTTTCCCTTTAAACCCTCCTGTAGGACATACCTCTTAGCTCTGGGACAGTCTTGTTGCAAACCTTTTTCACTTTTCTGTTTTTTTAGGCTTGGCTAGGGGTGGGTTTTCCCAAATGGTGCCGCTACTCCAATATGGGCCAACGATACGGGTACAGGGTCCTGAACGATTCCTTATTAAGAGGGAATGCTGTTCGGGTTTTTTCTAGGCGCCCATATCTGCAGCAGTTTTTGGTTGATGTGCGCTTAGGAGATGTCCGGTGTTATACCCCCCCAAAATCTTTTTCCTTGAGTGAGGTTTGTAGTCCTGACCCCCCAGACTTACCCGTCTGCGGCCTTTTTTGCCCTTTCCCCAATCTTCTGACTTTGCCTTGGTGGGGTTTAACTCCAGGGCCAAATTTTTGGCCAGTTCTGCAGCCTGCCCGATCCTTGTATTCTGCCTGGCTTCGATGAGTGTATTTTCTCATCAACTTCAGTCATCGCAAACAGGGACACCTCAGAGTCGGTGGTGTGGTGTGTGTGTGTTGTGGTGTGTGTGTGTGTGTGTGTGTGTTGTGTGTGGTGTGTGTGTGTGCGCTTTTGTGCGCGTTTTGTGCAGTGTGGCGTGTGACATGCGCATGTGTGGCGTGTGTGCATGTGCGTGTCGTGTGTGTTGGGGTGTGGGGGTGTGTGTGGTGTGGTGTGTTGTGTGTGTGTGTGTGTGTGTGTGTGTGTGTGTGGGGTGTGTACTCACCCATTTTGTTTCTCACCTATTTGTGGGTTGCAGGGGGGATTCACAGCTTCTGGCCCCCCCCTCTTCGCTGATTGCTACTAGGTCCTCTCTTCCCCCGCCCCATGAGCCTATCATACCTCGCCTTAAAACTATGTAGGTTTTTCCCGCCTCCCCCACATCACTTTCTAGGTATTCCTGGCCCGACTACTCTAGACTGAAAAAACTTCCCAAAAATCCCCCTTTTTTCATCTGAGTCTTCAACTTCCGTTGTGACCTTTGTGTCTGTGTCCTCTCGGAAATCCCGTCTTTGTCCACCTCGTCCCATTCCGCGCAGTATTTTATATGTCGTTATCATGTCTCCCCTGACCCTCCTGGCCTCCAGTGTCGTCAGGCCGATTTCCCTCAATCATTTTTTTTATAACATGCCGGACATCTCCCACTGAAGCAGGGTGACGGGAAAAAAAGAAACACTTTCACCATCATTCACACTATCATTGTCTTGCCTCTGGCAAGACAATGATAAACAGCAAATATCCCAATCCCCTCATTTAGGGTGCAGGCACTGTACTTCTACCTCCAGGACTCAAGTCCGCCTAACAGGTTTCTCTGAATCCCTTCACAAAATATTACCACGCTCACACTCCAACAGCTTCTTAAGTTCCAAAAACCATTGTCTCAACTCACTCCTACTTATCAGGCTCACACATGCCTGCTGTGAGGGCCCCCCCTACCCTACCTTCCCTCCACTACAGATTTATAAGCCCTCCAAGTCATCCTATTTTGCTCCATCCTCTCTAAATGACCAAACCACCTCAACAACCCCTCCTCAGCTCTCTGGATAACACTTTTAGTAACTCCACACCTCGTAATCTTCAAAATGTGAGATCTCTGCATAATATTTACACCATACATTGCCCTCAGACACGACATCTCCACTACCTCCAGCCTCCTCTTTGTTGCAACATTCACAACCCAACAGTCATCTGGTGACCTTAGGATGAAAACATTCACCAACGTTCATTCAGTTGTCATCTTTCTAGAAGTATCTGACATCATAATCCAATTACACCTGTACATATTGGTATTATATATTGTATTATTTCAAGGAATGTTAAGGAGTCAAACCTTAAGTTTAGCATGTGCTAATCCTAGACTCTACCAATGAACTGTGAAGGCTTTCAAGAAATGGCAACCTTATCCCAGGTAATGTCCTCAGCTAACCCAGCTGCTACATGGAAATGCAGGTTTCTTTATAAACAATCTCTCACATACAACAGTTGGAATGATCAGATATATCACTTGTATGTCTAAGCCTTGTGAATATCTTACAGTCACGACTAAAAGAATTACAAAGAAAAGTTTATATACTAAATACTCAAGTAATATTGTATGTTCTACATGAGTGTTTCATATTTATACTTTTCCTCTTTCTCTATTTTTTTGGCTGCAATTTTTGCTCCAATATAAAACAACTTAAAATACACAGAGCATGCATAACACATTTACCCCCAAAACTGCTAGTACTGTTACATACCAACACACATGTGACTGGGTTCATTGTATCGGAAGCCAACATTACACTCGCAACGAAATGAGCCCATGGTGTTTATGCAGCGGCCATTCTTGCACATCATGTGACCCATCAGCTCGCACTCATCAAAGTCCTCAGGTTGTCCAGTTAGGGGATTAATCACCTGGCCACTGTCCACCACTGGGACTCGACTACTGCCAGGTCTAGAAACATCAGTGCCATCACTACTTCCAATCTCCTCAGGGTGTATACCAGGGATTGTGACATCAGGCCCTACAGGCCTGCCATCAGGCCCTACAGGCCTGCCATCAGGCCCTACAGGCCTGCCGTCAGTCTCTATTGGCCTGCCATCAGGCCCTATTGGCCTGCCATCAGGCCCTACTGAGCTGCCATCAGGCCCTACAGCCCTGCCATCAGGCCCTACAGGCCTGCCATCAGGCCCTACAGGCCTACCATCAGGAACACGATCTTCAGGGCGTCGAGGGCGTTCACGATCATGAGGGCCCTCTCCAGAGCCTACAGTCAATATGTCATCAGTAGTGGGAAAACCATCTACCGATGGTCTTCTTCTATCACCTGGGCCTGGGATCAAACCAATACCCACGTGACAGAGTACGTTGAAGGCCACTGTACAAGATAAAATATATTTTTAATGTTGGAGCAAGTTTACAATATGTCATATATAAGAAATAAAAACAGTCATTATAATCTGAAAAGTATTTGAAATATCTGACTAAACTGTATTGGGTTTAGCAATTATTAAAAAATTTTTTTGTTAAATCTTCTACTGTGTAGACTGTGGTATTTCACTCTGATCGAGGAAGTAGCAATTTAACTCCAGCATTCTGCTCTAAGCAATGAGGAGTCATGGACTAAGCCTGGAAGGTGCTACTGCCACCAACATTACCAATCCTAAAATAAACACTGAAGCCAACACCCAAGCACATCTGCAGGGGCAGTACCAAAATTTCTGTACTTTGGGAGCTTAGGGGTGATTTTCTGGTTGGAATGGAGACTAGGAGACTTGTTCTGAAGCAACATTATTAATATTATTATTATTATTATTATTATTATTATTATTACTATTTTTATTTGGGTCTGACTTTGAGGACTGAAACCACCCCAAGCCTCCCCCTTGATACTGTCACTGTACATCTGCAGCTCTTCAATTATTTAAAAACTGTATAGTACTGCTTTCTTATCCTCAATGATAAATAATGGAAGCTTCTTAACGTGGAAGGCTTGCCAAGCCCAATTTTTAACTCAAAGGCCACACATTTCTATTCTGTATTTGTAGGTTATATAAAAATAGGTAGTAGGTTGGTAGACAGCAACCACCCAGGGAAGTACTACCGTCCTGCCAGATGACTGTGAAACAAAAACCTGTAACTGTTTTGCATGATGGTAGGATTGCTGGTTTCTTTTTCTGTCTCATAAACACGCTAAGATAACAGGGATATCTTGCTACTCCTACTTACACTTTGGTCACACTTCACAGACACGCACATGCATATATATATATACATACATCTAGGTTTTTCTCTTTTTTCTAAATAGCTCTTGTTCTTTTTTATTTCTTCTATTGTCCATGGGGAAGTGGAAAAGAATCTTTCCTCCGTAAGCCATGCGTTTTCGTATGAGGCGACTAAAATGCCGGGAGCAATGGGCTAGTAACCCCTTCTCCTGTATACAATTACTAAAAAAGAGAAGAAGAAAAACTTTATAAAACTGGGTTGCTTAAATGTGCGTGGATGTAGTGCGGATGACAAGAAACAGATGATTGCTGATGTTATGAATGAAAAGAAGTTGGATGTCCTGGCCCTAAGCGAAACAAAGCTGAAGGGGGTAGGAGAGTTTCAGTGGGGGAAATAAATGGGATTAAATCTGGAGTATCTGAGAGAGTTAGAGCAAAGGAAGGGGTAGCAGTAATGTTAAATGATCAGTTATGGAAGGAGAAAAGAGAATATGAATGTGTAAATTCAAGAATTATGTGGATTAAAGTAAAGGTTGGATGCGAGAAGTGGGTCATAATAAGCGTGTATGCACCTGGAGAAGAGAGGAATGCAGAGGAGAGAGAGAGATTTTGGGAGATGTTAAGTGATGTATAGGAGCCTTTGAACCAAGTGAGAGAGTAATTGTGGTAGGGGACTTGAATGCTAAAGTAGGAGAAACTTTTAGAGAGGGTGTGGTAGGTAAGTTTGGGGTGCCAGGTGTAAATGATAATGGGAGCCCTTTGATTGAACTTTGTATAGAAAGGGGTTTAGTTATAGGTAATACATATTTTAAGAAAAAGAGGATAAATAAGTATACACGATATGATGTAGGGCGAAATGACAGTAGTTTGTTGGATTATGTATTGGTAGATAAAAACTGTTGAGTAGACTTCAGGATGTACATGTTATAGAGGGGGGCCCCAGATATATCAGATCACTTTCTAGTTGTAGCTATACTGAGAGTAAAAGGTAGATGGGATACAAGGAGAATAGAAGCATCAGGGAAAAAGAGAGGTGAAGGTTTATAAACTAAAAGAGGAGGCAGTTAGGGTAAGATATAAACAGCTATTGGAGGATAGATGGGCTAATGAGAGCATAGGCAATGGGGTCGAAGAGGTATGGGGTAGGTTTAAAAATGTAGTGTTAGAGTGTTCAGCAGAAGTTTGTGGTTACAGGAAAGTGGGTGCAGGAGGGAAGAGGAGCGATTGGTGGAATGATGATGTAAAGAGAGTAGTAAGGGAGAAAAAGTTAGCATATGAGAAGTTTTTTACAAAGTAGAGTGATGCAAGGAGGGAAGAGTATATGGAGAAAAAGAGAGAAGTTAAGAGAGTGGTGAAGCAATGTAAAAAGAGAGCAAATGAGAGAGTGGGTGAGATGTTATCAACAAATTTGTTGAAAATAAGAAAAAGTTTTGGAGTGAGATTAACAAGTTAAGAAAGCCTAGAGAACAAATGGATTTGTCAGTTAAAAATAGGAGAGGAGAGTTAATTAAATGGAGAGTTAGAGGTATTGGGAAGATGGAAGGAATATTTGAGGAATTGTTAAATGTTGATGAAGATAGGGAAGCTGTGATTTCGTGTATAGGGCAAGGAGGAATACATCTTGTAGGAGTGAGGAAGAGCCAGTTGTGAGTGTGGGGGAAGTTCGTGAGGCAGTAGGTAAAATGAAAGGGGGTAAGGCAGCCGGGATTGATGGGATAAAGATAGAAATGTTAAAAGCAGGTGGGGGTATAGTTTTGGAGTTTGGTTGGTGCAATTATTTAATAAATGTATGGAAGAGGGTAAGGTACCTAGGGATTGGCAGAGAGCATGCATAGTTCCTTTGTATAAAGGCAAAGGGGATAAAAGAGAGTGCAAAAATTATAGGGGGATAAGTCTGTTGAGTGTACCTGGGAAAGTGTATGGTAGAGTTATAATTGAAAGAATTAAGAGTAAGACGGAGAATAGGATAGCAGATGAACAAGGAGGCTTTAGGAAAGGTAGGGGTGTGTGGACCAGGTGTTTACAGTGAAACATATAAGTGAACAGTATTTAGATAAGGCTAAAGAGGTCTTTGTGGCATTTATGGATTTGGAAAAGGCGTATGACAGGGTGGATAGGGGGGCAATGTGGCAGATGTTGCAAGTGTATGGTGTAGGAGGTAGGTTACTGAAAGCAGTGAAGAGTTTTTTACGAGGATAGTGAGGCTCAAGTTAGAGTATGTAGGAAAGAGGGAAATTTTTTCCCAGTAAAAGTAGGCCTTAGACAAGGATGTGTGATGTCACCGTGGTTGTTTAATATATTTATAGATGGGTTGTAAGAGAAGTAAATGCGAGGGTTTTGGCAAGAGGCGTGGAGTTAAAAGATAAAGAATCACACACAAAGTGGGAGTTGTCACAGCTGCTCTTTGCTGATGACACTGTGCTCTTGGGAGAATTCTGAAGAGAAGTTGCAGAGATTGGTGGATGAATTTGGTAGGGTGTGCAAAAGAAGAAAATTAAAGGTGAATACAGGAAAGAGTAAGGTTATGAGGATAACAAAAAGATTAGGTGATGAAAGATTGAATATCAGATTGGAGGGAGAGAGTTGGAGGAGGTGAACGTATTCAGATATTTGGGAGGGGAACGTGTCAGCGGATGGGTCTATGAAAGTGGGGTTTGAATCATAAAATTTTGATGAGGGAAAAAGAGTGAGTGGTGCACTTAGGAGTCTGTGGAAACAAAGAACTTTGTCCTTGGAGGCAAAGAGGGGAATGTATGAGAGTATAGTTTTACCAACGCTCTTATATGGGTGTGAAGCGTGGGTGATGAATGTTGCAGCGAGGAGAAGGCTGGAGGCAGTGGAGATGTCATGTCTGAGGGAAATGTGTGGTGTGAATATAATGCAGAGAATTTCGTAGTTTGGAAGTTAGGAGGAGGTGCGGGTTTTACCAAAACTGTTGTCCAGGGGCTGAGAAGGGTTGTTGGGGTTTGGTTCGGACATGTAGAGAGAATGGAGCGAAACAGAATGACTTCAAGAGTGTATCAGTCTGTGTGGAAGGAAGGCGGGGTGGGGGTGGGCCCTAGGAAGGTTGGAAGGAGGGGGTAAAGGGGGGTTTTGTGTGCGAGGGGTTTGGGGACTTCCAGCAGGCATGCGTGAGCGTGTTTGATAGGAGTGAAATGGAGACAAATGGTTTTTAATACTTGACGTGCTGTTGGAGTGTGAGCAAAGTAAAATTTATGAAGGGATTCAGGGAAACCCCGCAGGCCGGACTTGAGTCCTGGAGATGGGAAGTACAGTGCCTGCACTCTGAAGGAGGGGTGTTAATGTTGCAGTTTAAAAACTGTAGTGTAAAAGCACCCTTCTGGCAAGACAGTGATGGAGTGAATGATGGTGAAAGTTTTTCTTTTTCGGGCCACCCTGCCTTGGTGGGAATCGGCCGGTGTGATAATAAAAAAAAAAAAAAAAAATAAAATAAAAAAATAACATAAAACTTAGCCACTATAGCATATAAATGACAGATATAACATCTGTTATATTTATTCATACATACAGGCTTAAGCATGCCCAAGCTAACATATTTCCTAAACTGTGCACCCTTATATAACAAACCAAAACTAAAAGAGTATGGCAGTCTTCTTTAATCAATATTAGCAAGACTGCTCAATGTTGCTATAGAAGAGGGGCAGTGGGACCAAGTTATACTTCCAGTCAGACTAAGAGACAGAGGCCTGCAAGACATCACAGGTAGCACTTTCTGCATTCCCATTTTTGATAAATTAGACACATGTGCAACTCTTGAGTATCTTTATTGAGGAAACGTTTCGCCACAAGTGGCTTCATCAGTCCATACGTAGGAGAAACTTGAAGAACAGGAGGAGAATGAGGTAATCAGTCCCTCAACCTTGAGTCGATGTGAAGCCACTGTGTGGCGAAACGTTTCCTCAATAAAGATACCCAAGAGTTGCACATGTGTCTAATTTATCAACATGTCGGTTCTCTGAACCATTCATCTACAAATTCCCATTTTTGTGTGTCGAGTCCAGCAAACTTGTAGCAATAATTCTCCCTTAATACTTGAAGGACAATGTTGGGGTTTACAGCCCAACGGCAATTAATAAAGCCAAACTCCAAGATAATCTATCAGCTCACAAATAGCCCACACTTAGAAAACTGAAACTTATGATGATGTTTCAGGCTGACTTGGACCATTAACTAGTCCCACAGAGAAGCATAAAGGGAAGGGAACCAGAATATATATTAAAGGGAGTGGGGGACAAGAGTGCGAGGGAGTAGTAATAGTAGTACACAACAGTAGCAGTAGAAGTAGTAGAGGGAGAAATAAGAAGTTTGTAGTGGTAATGAAAAAAGTGGCAGGGCAGAGAGTGGAATGTTAACAAAGAAACAGTAGTAGTAGTAGAAGTAATAGTGCAGGCAGACTATAATAACAAGAGAACAGAGGAGTACTACATGACAGCTAATGGCCGGGGGTGGGGGGTGGGGGAATTACATAATCCACCTAGGCAGAAGAGATTAAAGGTAATGAAAATATATAGTTACAAGTGACGAAAAGATCTTTGTTCTTCTTTAACAAAAACAACGTAAGTGAGAGAAAACTCTTGATGTTTAAATTAGAGAGCAAAACAAAAACTCAAGTAATGTACTTACTTGTATTTCTCTCTGGACATGGCTCACAGCTGAATCCCCAGGCAGCACCCATTGAGCAGCAGCATTTCATTTTCGTGATGTCAGCCCTCATTGGTATAGAGCACACCCCATTATCATACTCCATAAAGCAAGTCTCAGTTCTCATGTCAATACAGTCAGCTTGGCTAGGCAGCAGCATGTAGCCCTCTGGACACTCACATACAAAACTACCAATCGTGTTAAAGCAACGGCCATTCTTGCACTTGATTCCATCTGCACATTCATCAAAATCTGACCAATAACAAAAGCACATTAATCTATGAATTATAACTCCAATTGAACTTAATTGTAAACTAAAAAAAAAGTTCTGCTGGTTAATTATTATTATTTTTAACTCAATGACTGTTTCCCACAAAGGCAGGGTGACTCAAAGAAGAAAACACATTCATCAACATTCATTCAGTCACTGTCTTTCTGGAAGTGTGCTGACATCACAACCAAATTATCCTCTGACTGCATCATCCCCACCACTCTTTCAGAGTTCAGGCACTGCCCTTCCCACTTCCAGGACTCTAAATCCAGCTTACTAATTTCCCTAAATCCCTTCATAAAAGTAATGTTGCTCATACTCCAGCAGCATGTCTATTAAAGACCACTTGTCTCCATTCACTCCTAATATGCTCACACAAACCTGCTGGATGCTCAAACCCCTAAAATTCAAAGCCTCTTTTACCCCCTTATTACTTCCTCTTACCCCTCCTACCTTCCCCCCAAAATTATACACCTTTATCATCCTATGCCTCTCCATCTTCTCCATATATGCAAACCACCTCAACAACCCATCCTTCACCATCTGAATTACATTCTTAGTGACCTGACATCACCTATAAAATTCTACACTCTCAAGTCTCTGCATGATCATTATAATAATTATTATTATTATTTATATTCATGGGAGAGTGCTAAACTAACAAGGGCCATAAAATGACTATAGAATGGGAGGCAATCAGGAAAAATCCAAGGAAGGGAAGGCAGCTTCTATTCCTTGGATCAAGAGAACTTCACGAGAATCAAGGCACCTTATTTGAAGAGGCCTATGGTTTTGCATTGGAATACCTAAACTAGACCCAGCTTCAACAGCCTTACAGGTGTGTCATAAACATCTTCATATTAGCTATTAGAATACATTCCACATATTGCAACAGCTAATATGGTATTACCCTCTACATTTTTTTCAACAAATCTAAATATTTTTTCATCATTTATATTGCTATATATGCATTATGTTGAAGAGTTTTGTGTTGTGGTTTGACAAATGCAGTTACCACATGGATGTATTCACTATTTCCTAAATACATAAGGATCTAATCATTGTACTATTGTTCACTTAACTACCTTACCGAAGTAGTCTGTAAGCATTAGGATTAGTCTGTCCAAAATGTCAATGCACTGCATGCTAGTGGTTTTCTTTTGTGCTTAACAGTACTTTAATACATGTAAACTACATTTAGTAATACTACAGAAAGAAATAGTTTATTTGTACTGAGAAATGAATGTAAAGGAAGGTTGGTAATTACTTCAGTTACAATTTCCAAAAAACAGAAAACAGATGATTATCATGTATCATTTGTGACTGCAAAAAGAGGCCTGTTCTGAGAGAAGAGTATTTGTCTCATGATTAGCAGACAGAAGATTGAGCCTCCACAACTACTTGTGCTAGATGACCCACTCATGTTAGGTACTTCACATTAAAATTGTACCTACTGATTCAACATGTGGAATGCTATTACTACATTCACTGAGAAGTGCTAACTCATATCTGGAGTATACTTGGGGACGGCTTCAGGGATCAATGTCCCCGCGGCTCGGTCTGAGACCAGGCCTCATGGTGGATCAGGGTCTGATCAACTAGGCTGTTACTGCTGGCTGCACACAAACTGACATACAAACCATAGCCCAGCTGGTCAGGTACTGACTTTAGATGCGTGTCTAGTGCCTTCTTGAAGACAGCCAGGGGTCTACTGGTAATCCCCTTTATGTATGCTGGGAGGCATTTGAAGAGTCTTGGGCCCCTGACACTTAGAAGTCATACAAGGACCCCAATGGAAATAAGTCACTTTGTCTGATTTCTTTGGGTTATCCTAGGTAATTTACACTATGTATGATAATTGTACTTATGTGTACTTGTGTATAAATAAACTTACTTATTACACAGCACCTAATTCTGTTTCAAATTATTACAAACTATGCTGTATGATGTCCTTAACAAAATTCTGCCGTCAATTTCATGAAATGCTCCACGTCATTTTGTAGCTTGTGTCCGGATTTTTTTTTAACTTGTCCGTAAGTTTTTTAGGTGAAGACACTGCACCTACATAAGAAAATGTATAGTGATATGCATGAGTGGTATCAGCTGATAGAACAGATGACCCACAGCTGTCTACTGGTCAACTGAGCTATATAATGATCTCCAAACACTGTTACTTCAACAAGCAAGAGAAACAAAGATTAAAGGTAAGGTAAAATTCATCATTACTACTTTTTTTTGCCTATTTCATGTTGTGTATATTAAGTATATAATAGTAATTGGCAGTGTATTAGACTTCTTTGCTTTCTCTGGAAGGAATGACATACCCCTTGTTTATGGAAGGCATGACATACCCATTGTCTCTTGAAAGAATGATATACCCCTTGTTTATGGAAGGAATGACATACTCATTTTCCCTGGAAGGAATGACATACTCATTGTCTCTGGAAGAAATGACACACTCATTGCCTCTAGAAGGAACGACATACTCATTGTCTCTGGAAAGAATGACATAATCATTTTCTCTGGAAGGAATGACATACTCATTGTATCTGGAAGGAATGACATACTCATTGTCTCTGGAAGGAATGACATACTCATTGTCTATGGAAGGAATGACATATTCATTGCCTCTGGAAGGAATAACATACTCATTGTCTCTCGAAGGAACGACATACTCATTTTCTCTGGAAGGAATGACATACTCATTGTCTCTGGAAGGAATGACATACCCATTTTCTCTGGAAGACAGAAACAGTATACTAACATCAAGAACCAGTGTCAAACATCAGCTTCTCCCAGGCCTTATTAACCCTTTCAGGGTCGAGAGGCCCTCTCCTAAACTTGTTCTCAGGGTTGAAAATTTTTTGAAAAAAAAAAAAAAAAAAAAAAAAAAAAAAAAAAAAAATCTTATGAAATGATAGAAAATCTTTTCCCGGCCATAATGACACCAAAAGTATGAAATTTGATGGAAAACTTACGGAATTATGCTCTCGCAAAGTTAGCAGTCTCGACGATGTTCACGCATTGGCAATTTCGCCCACCTTGAGCCCTATTTTCGGCCAATTCCAATGTACCAGTCGACAAAAATCATAACTATTTCGCTAGAACTCCATTTGTTCTATCGAAAGAGTACAAGAAACCACCCATTTACCGATTTCAACTATCCAATAAAGTGGTCAGAAATTGGCAATTTCGCCAATTACACACAGATTTCAAAATATGCCATTTTCCAAATAGGGTCCAGAATAAACAAGACAGACATTCTTGCCACTAAAATAACACTTTCTCTGTTCATTAGTCACGTCCCCAGGACCCTCTTACATTTCGTTTGCTTTCCATTTTGAATTTTTATTCTCACAAAAAATAGAAGATTTACTGTTATGCAGACTACTGCATTAGTGTAGAAATAGTATAAATAATATCAGCACACTTGTGAAAGAATATTAGACTCACCAGTTGACGTGTATTTGACGGGTGGAGTGATTTGTTTACTTTTGAACATTGGCAAAAATCAAACATTTCTACTATTTTGAGCTCAATTTCAAGATACTTTTCATTGTGAAACCAATCAAAATCATCTCAATTTCTGTAATATGTCTTCCATTCTATAAAACAAGACCAGGAAAACGAGAATACAACCATAAATACCATACGAAAATACACTGCAAAGTCGCTGTTTTAAACCACAAACACGGTTGGAGTTTTTTTTTTCTCACTATGCACTGTGCTGCAGGATTTTTTTTATACTGTGCACACTGACCACAAAGACCCATTCTTTCATACATAAGGCCAACCAGCTTTCTCTCACTAGATTTGAAGGTGCTAGAATTTACGTGTACTAGTACGGCACCAATCCTGGCGTGCAAGCCATACTAGTACGACTCCGACCCTGAAAGGGTTAAGTATAGGTAAGTTTATTTGGTAACTAAGTTTTTTACTTATGATTTGGGCACCTGTACATAACATGCATTTCTAGATCGACACACAATATGATGTCTACAATGTAAGGTGATAAAAAAATTCATTATTTAAAAAAAATAAGAAATATGTAGCCCTCTCTAATTTTGTAAGGTCTAATTGTACATGCATACATCTATCTCTCATTGTGTCTCTTCCCCTCCCTCTCTCTCTCTCTACTCTCTCATTCTCTCTTTTCCCCCTCCCTTTCATTGTCTCTCTCCCTCTCTTATTCTCTTTCATTCTATCTTCATCTCTCATTCTCTCTCCCTCTCTCTCCCTACTCTCTCATTCTCTCCCCCATTCTCTCATTCACTCCCCCACTCTCTCATTCTCTCCCCCTCTCTCTCATTCTCTCTCTTCCTCTCTCATTCTCCCTCTCTCTGGCTAGTGACTGACCTAAACAAAGTGAGCCTCCATCATTCAGTCTGTATCCTTGGTCACAGGAACACATGAAGGAACCAAATGTGTTGGAACAGCGACCATTGCGGCACAGGTTCTCCATTTCTGCGCATTCATCAATGTCCTCCAGAACCACCTGCAAAATTGCATATACAGTTTGAATTTCTAGTGCTTAACACATTTCACTGTCAAATAGCAGCTGAATCAAAGTGTAAAAAAAAATTAATATTTTCATTATTTGCATTACACACTTTCAATTTGTGAGAAAAAATCTGCCCAGAGATAATGGAAAAAGACTGCAGGATAAGATGGTTAAAAAAAAAAAATGGACATTCACAAAAACACCTGATCCTCCCATTCAGTATCCTCACAATACACAGGAGGGCCTCACTTTACAGCGTTTTGCTAATACATTGGTCCCTCGTTTATCGTCATTAATCCGTTCCTGGAAGTGCAACGATTATCGAAAAAGATGATTTTTGAATCAATTTTCCCCATAAGAAATAATGTAAATACAATTAATCTGTTCCTGACACCCAGAAGTATTAAAACAAAAATATTTTTTACATGAAATATAGATGTAGTGCATAAACAATACAATGGGACATGATGAATGAAACATTAACAGCATAACACTTATCTTTATTGGAGATTCTTCTTAGTGTATGGAAGACTGGAGGAGGAGAGAGATTGGATTAGTTACTGTTTGGAAGGGAAATCCCCTTCTATCAACACCTTAGGTACCAAGTCCTTTTCTGGGGTTACTTCTCTTCTCTGTTTCTTAATGCCACTAGGACCAGCTTGAGTCACTGGAGGCCTATCTCGCAAAAAAAGTGTCCAGAGAGCTCTGTTTCTGGTGTCTCTTTAAAACTTCCCTAAAATGGGTCAAGACTGTCACTGTACAAGTTGCTGATATGGCTTGCAACAGCCTTGTCAGGGCGATGTTTCTCCATAAATCTTTCCATCCTACCCCACATTTCAAAAATCTCCTTAATTTCTAAAGAAGGCACCTTCTTCCATCTCTCTTCCTCCTCCTCCTCCTTCCTCCTTCTCGTTTATCCACACCAATAATAACTTTTCAACCTCTTCGAGTACTGGTGATCTCATTTTTGTCACCATATTTACCCCCTTTTCAACAACAGCTTCTTTGATTTCCTTTGTCTTGGCCATGATGGAAGATATGGTTGTACGGGATTTGCTATACGTACATCCTGGCCAGTTCGGCCACACGTACGCCACTTTCATATTGTTCAATGATGTTTTTCTTAATTTCAATCGTATTTCTCACCTTCTTTACCAAAGGCTTGGCACTAGGAGCTTTCTTTGGAGCCATGGTAGCTTAATTAGCACTTGCAAGCACTAAAATGAATGGAATATTATGAAATATTTTGTATGAACACGTGAGGATACTGTCTCTCACTGGTAAACAATGGCACACTGGCTGGGAAGGGAGGCCGAGGTGGCTCAGAGCCGTGAGCACGCGTCCAGGACAAACAACGATTAGCGAGTCAACCGACCATTTACGAGCCAATGTTTGGACTAAACTAATGCGACGATTTCCGAAAAGGACGACTATCGAGCCTGATTATTATTGAGGGACCACTGTACAGTAGTTTTTAATCATACTCATTCTTCATTATTCAGATTTCCTACAATAAATATATTCACCACTCACTTTAAGCTAAAGATGAAAATATTTTAAGGTAATGTGTGTACTGCACATGCATTTTTTAGGCATAACTCTATTGCTCACTTAATATATGATAATATCAACATATTATCAGGTTTCATATGCATCTGAAAGTGAAAAAAATGCTATGTTACACTTTACAGTGGTAGTCCAGAATGTAAACTGCTGTATAAACAGGGCTCACCTGTACAGTGGACCCCAGCCTTACGAACGCATCGTGTTGTGTTAAATCTGCCATACGAAGCATTTGAATGCAAAAATTTTGCCTCGCTAATGATAAAAAACTCGCCTTACGTGATTCGTCTGGGATGTGTCCCACGCGTGGCCTCAGCTGCCCCATGGGTGCCAGTGTTTACAATCCAGCCAGTGCGGTCGCATCTAAGCATACATTTGGTACATTTCATATTATCACAGTGTTTTTAGTGATTGTACCTGCAAAATAAGTCACCATGGGACCCAAGAAAGCTTCTAGTGCCAACCCTGTGGTAAAAAGGGTGAAAATTACTATGGAAATAAAGAAAGAGATAACTGCTAAGTACGAAAGTGGAGTGCATGTCTCGGAGCTGGCCAGGTTGTATACCAAACCCCAATCAACCATCACTACTAACTTGGCCAACAAAACGGGAATCAAGGAAGCTGTTCTTGCAGAAGGTGCAAGTTTGTTTTCGTAACAGAGATCGCAAGTGATAGAAGATGTTGAGAGACTGTTATTGGTGTGGGTAAACGAAAAACAGATTGCAGGAGATAGCATCTCTCAAGCGATCATATGTGAAAAGGCTAGGAAGTTGCATGACGATTTAATTAGAAAAATGGCTGTAACTAGTTGTGATGTGAGTGAATTTAAGGCCAGCAAAGGTTGGTTTGAGAGATTTAAGAATCGTAGTGGCATAAATAGTGTGATAAGGCATGGTGAGGCTGCCAGTTCGAACCAAAAAGCGGCTGAAAAATATGTGAAGGAATTCAAGGAGTACATAGACAGTGAAGAACTAAAACCTGAACAAGTGTTTAATTGCGACAAAACAGGCCTGTTTTGGAAGAAATTGCCAAGCAGGACCTACATTACTCAGGAGAAAAAGGCACTCCCAGGACATAAGCCTATAAAAGACAGGCTTACTCTTCTGATGTGTGCTAATGCTAGTGGTCATTGCAAAGTGAAGCCTTTATTGGTGTATAACTCTGAAACTCCCAGAGCGTTCAGGCAAAACAATGTTCTCAAGGCTAATTTGTGTGCTGTGGAGGGCAAACAGTAAGGCATGGGTCACTAGGGACTTTTTTTTATGACTGGATATGCCGTGCATTTGCCCCCAATGTGAAAAATTACCTAATGGAAAAGAAATTGGACCTTAAGTGCCTCCTGGTATTAGACAATGCTCCTGGTCATCCTTCAGACTTGGCAGAGCGACTTTCTGGGGACATGAGCTTCATTAAGGTCAAGTTTTTGCCTCCTAATACCACTCCTCTTCTGCAGCCCATGGACCAGCAAGTCATTTCAAACTTCAAAATACTCTACACAAAAGCTGTTTCAAAAGTGCTTTGAAGTGACCTCAGACACTCGATTGACTCTAGAGAGTTTTGGAAAGATCACTTTAGTATCCTCAGTTGTGTAAACCTTATAGGTAAGGCTTGGGAGGGAGTGACTAAAAGGACCTTGAACTCTGCCTGGAAGAAACTGTGGCCAGAATGTGTAGAAGAAAGGGATTTTGAAAGGTTTGAGGCTAACACTGAGAAGCATATGCCAGTTGTGGAATCCATTGTGGCATTGGGGAAGTCCTTGGGGTTGGAGGTTAGTGGGGAGGATGTGGAAGAGTTGGTGGAGGAGGACAATGAAGAACTAACCACTGATGAGCTGCAAGATCATCTTCAACAGCAAGAGGCCAGACCTGAGGAAACTGCTTCAGAGGCGGGGAGAGAGAAATTGAGGAAGTTGCCTACTTCAAAGATTAAGGAAATGTGTGCAAAGTGGGTTGAACTGCAAACCTTTGCAGATGAAAATCACCCTGACACAGCTACTGCAAGCCATGTTGGCAACCTGTACAATGACAATGTTATGGCCCATTTTAGGAAAGTCTTAAAGGAACAGGAGGTACAGAGCTCTCTGGACAGATTTGTTGTGAGACAGAGGTCCAGTGACTCTCAAGCTGGTCCTAGTGGCATTAAAAGAAGAAGGGAAGTAACCCCGGAAAAGGACTTGCTACCTAAAGTCCTAATGGAAGGGGATTCCCCTTCTAAACAATAACAACTTCCACAATCTCCCCTCCCATCCTACCAATCATCACCAGATCTTCAATAAAGGTAAGTGTCATGTACTCTATTCTTAGTAGAGTAGCAATTGTGCATGTCTTCTTCAGTTTGTGTATTAAAATTAATATTTCACGTGGTAAAAAATTTTTTTTTTCATACTTTGGGGTGTCAGGAATGGATTAATTTGATTTCCATTATTTCTTATGGGGAAAATTAATTCGGCTAACAATAATTTCAGCTTATGATGAGCTCTCAGGAATGGATTAATATCGTAAGGTGGGGGTCCACTGTATTTGTACATCAATATTATATGACTCTTCCAATTTTAGTAAAGTATTAGCAGCATTAATGGAATTAAAAATTTGTCATTTGTCAGCTGCTAATACAATAGGGCCCCGCTTTACGATGTTTCACCTCGTGGCGTTCCGCTAATACGGCGATTTCAAATTATGACCAAAATTTGCTGTACAACGAGTGGTCTTTCAAATATGGCGTGCCCCACCCGATTTGTTTACGTTCTCCGTGAGCACATCTCCATTATGTCTGGAAATTTTCCAAAATTTCAAGTGTTTTAAAGTTATTGCATATCTTATATGTACTCTGATAATGATACTTATGTGTACCTGTACCTAAATATACTTACACACTGTGCTGGCATGTAGGTACACATTAAAATCACTAGGAGTCTACTTTTGAAGATGCCATATTAATAATAATAATAATCCATCTATGATCTTTTTTTCAAAATTATATAATAAACACACTACATAACATATAAACAGTATAAAACTTAACATATACAGTGGAACCTCTACTTGCGAGTTTAATCCGTTCCATGACCTTGCTCGCAACTGGATTTGCTCATTTGCAAAGTCAATTTTCCTCATTGAAATTAACTGAAATGCAATTAATCCATTCCAGTGGAATTCAGTACTTCAATAATTTTGCTAATATCAACTCTATGGCTTGTTTATCTATCACAGTTCATCTAATATGACATAACAAATAACATAAATAACATAGAAACCTAATATATACTCAGAATGAATAAAATATGTCATTATATATATGGAGGAAGAATGCAGAGGAGAGAGAGAGATTTTGGGAGATGTTAAGTGAATGTATAGGAGCCTTTGAACCAAGTGAGAGTAATTGTGGTAGGGGACCTGAATACTAAAGTAGGAGAAACTTTTAGAGAGGGTGTG